ATACAGAAATTGAAGACATTGCTAAGCATATATAAGGGAATTAATATTTGTTCATATATTTCGCATCCCACAAGGAAGAGACTCAGCTCAAAATTAGACTAAACTTGAACTCTGAAAATAGTCATACTTTTATTAATTTCCCGTAGGGCAAGTTATAGTAATCGCAAAAAAATCGAAAATGAAAATTTTTATATATCTTTACGTTTCAGAACTTTCTGAACATTTTGGCATACCCTAGAAAAAAGTAAGTTTTTGTCAAAATTATAGTTTCTCAAAAATCTAATTTGATAGAGTAAATTTTTTTCAAAAATGTTAATCTTTTTTTAAAAAAAATAATTTTTGGTACGGGAAGTTCCAGCAATTTGCTTTTATTTTTAAAAGTTTTTATTATTAAATTAACTATAATAAAAATATAGAAAAATGACAAGTTTAAATTGAATTGTATTCAAAATTCAATAAATGAATATGAACTAATAATAAGTTTTGCTCTATTGCACAACATTTTAACATCTCATTGCATAATATATAATAATCGTAATTTTTTTTGCATATCTTTATGTTTTAAAGGTTTTTGAACATTCTGGCATACTAATTTTTTTATTTTTTTCAGATTTTCGAAATTTGTCAGAATCATCAAAAAAATTCAATGTTTTTATAAATTCTCAAAATTTCAACAATTTCAAAATTTAAAAAAAAATCTTTTTTTTAAATATATCGAAAATCAATATCGCATTTTATTGAAATTTTAAAATTTAGAGAAGTTCTAAAAGTAAAACTAAAACTAAAACTTTGGAGAATTTAAAGTTCACTTATACTTGAAATGAGTAATTTTAACTTTGCAATTCACTTTCAAAATGTCATATATAGACCTCAGTATCAATCATTCCGAACTCGAATCGGTTAGGTTTTTTTTATACATATTTCTTGTAAAGATATATAAAGGTCGTCGTTGATCGTCGCCCAAATATAAGCACTTATAGATATTAGATCTATAAAATACGAATTATGGAATTTACAGTATATATAATATTTATTTGATAATATTCAATATATTTGTTATTAATTATTGATCAATTTTTAATTGATTATTCATTATTTTTATACCTCTAATAACCTATTTGGAAAGTTTGAGTCTGTGAAGCACAATGGCATGCACTCTAGTACTATTTTGGCTCGTGTCACTTTTCTTTTAACTTAAATTTTTTATTTGTTTATTCTTTTAGTTGATTTAGACATAAATCATTATTAATTTCGATTTAAACGTTCAGATCACGCATTTTACAGTTGTGCAGCACCAATTATATACTTGTATATCGAACTTACTTTTTCTATTCTCTCCAAATTTGCCTCAAAAATCCATAATGCGGCGTGGAGGATAGTGTTGTAAAAATATAAAGCGTCAGAGGTTCAATATACATATTCATGTGTAAGGCCTTAAATGTGGAACAAGTTCTGATATATCTAGGCTTTGCATGCGCGAATAAATCATTATTTGAGAATTTCCGCTAAAAAGAGACTCGCAAAGTTGTCTTACGAGTGTGTATTTATTCTCGACGCATGTATATTGCAAATTTTAAACATATCAGAGTGTATGATATATCGCCTATTCTCGACACCAAACGTAATATTTATTTATTGGCTCGGCTTTGCGGCGCAGCAGCGCCAATGTTTATTTTCGATTATCCTGCCTTTCCACCCTCTCATATCCATCTAAGTAAACAGAAGGGCTATGTATAATCATGTATAGCTCGGCGAGGACCTTATTGTGCTATTACCGCAAGGTATCGATATATATATATATATATATATATATATATAAAAGACTTACTAGCATACCACCCTGTGTAATCGTGTATAGCTCGGCGAGGCATTTATAGTTATATATTTATAATATTATGGAAAAAAACTGATTTTGATAGGATTTTTTTATGTTTTAAAGATCAATTTTAGTTTTGTAATTTCGAGATTCTTTTTGACGCCGAACCAATTACCATGTGCAGTTGCTGCATTGTTCGTTGCTATATTTATTTGTTTATTTATCAATTTCCCGTAGGGTAATGATCGCAAAAAAAATGAAAATGAACATTTTTGTATATCTTTACGTTTCAAAGGGTTTTGAGCATTTTGGCATTTTAGAAAAAATGGATGTGTGTATATGTGTGCGGATACAAATATTCGTCAACAATTTGAATTACAATTTGAATAATTGAAATTCAAATTCAAAATCATTCGATTCATATTAATGGAGATACGTACTAATTAGTTTTTGGCAAAGGTAGGTTCAACCGTTTTGAAGATACTACGGGACAAAAAGTGCCAAAAATGATAATATAGTTTTTGAGAGAACGGAGTGTTCGAAATGAAGAACTGATTAAATTTTTGGGAAGGCAGGTCAACCTGTTTCTATTCCCATATATACTATATGTGTACTTTTGTTACGTAGTTATAGAATTTATTAAAACTCTCCTTCGATAATTCATCTGTGGACTGTATTAAACACTGATTTGTTTGTATATTATGTATTTGTTGCAGTTTTAATTACAATCACTGATTTGTTACTAAGTTATAATGAAAGAAGATATGTTTATTTTTATTGGTTACTTACATGTTGTTAAGCGGACTTTACTTTTAGAAGTGAACAACTAGTTAAATTAAAACACTCCGCTACCCCCTCTACCAGGGGTAGTAACCATTCCGTGTAAAGCTTAATGCCCTGAAGTTTTGTCACCTTCATGGCCAATATAATAAAACGAAAAGACGTTCGAACAATATGGGATCCAAAAACTTACTTAACTTAAATTATGTCAGTCAAATAATATATTTAAAATTCTTAATCTACTAATCAATATGACTTCGATTCGATTACGTTAGCGTAATCAGACGCCCTATCCGATGTTTGCAGCCTCAAATTAGTTTAGGAATTCTCATTCAGTACGATTTGGTACCGATTGCGTAAACATGCGTTCTCTCACCACTTAATTGACCATGTTTTCAGCGACCGAGTATATTGCTGGATTAGAATGTTTATTAATACATATAATACGAAACTATCGAGGCGATATTAGATTATTTTTGTAATAAAAAAGACGTTTGAAATTAATAATACTATTGGCGTTAATAAAAAAATGAATGAGAAGTGCTATGGTATGCTATATATATTATTCTCCATGAAAGTTTTTCTTATTATGTGTAGATTATGATTTACATTCATTGGGCTATCAGTGATCTGTATTTTATATTAATTTGAGTAAATTTCAATAGAAACATGGTATTTATATATAGAATTTCATACTTCTGCAGAATCAGCATGTCTTGAATACAAACTTTTGACATTTTTGTGAAATATTATACTAATTTTAATAGTGTCACTACTTCATTAGCGACGGTGGTAATGATTGTTTTTACTTTTATATAAACTGTTCAGATGACTCATTTTCTACTTAGAATTCCCATATAAAATCACAGCTTTGGCATATGTTCAAGTCAGATCCAATGTTGATTTACCATATGGCTTTTACTCTTCGAATTCCTTATGCGAACATGATTTGATAAGAAGTACAATGACTACAATGTTCACAGTAGATAATTTCACTGTATTTTAAATATAAACCGCGAACATAATCTAGAAATTGCAAACAGCTGCAAATTATCACATTGTTTACTTTATGATAATTGTGGACTGACCGACTTGTGACCTATTCGCTACATATATTGTCAGCTGTCAACAAATATTGGAAATGATTCATTTCCTGTAAAAGTATATTATTGTGCAAACCGTCGAAAGAGATAATAGTTTTATCTACATAATTGTTTTCTCTTGTTGCGCTATAAAAGATGGAGATAAATGATGACACCATTAAACTCGTCAGTTTATTCAATTATAGATTTACGATGTGTAGAGCAATGCACAATGCACAGACGACTTATTAAATGAAGCTCGGTGTGCTGGCTCGTTAAACGAATGAAATCCGTTCGTTCATAAAGGACGCGTTCATAAATGAATATTGATTGCTGTGCTTATTGTTCGGATGTTACCAGCCCTTCTTGCTGGTCCTTAGTAGCTTACGGACAGCTTTTGATAGCCGCTCATATTCAACGGGCCAGTCAGTCTTCTGAAAGCGCGAACACAATAAGCCTCGACCTCAACCACAATTTCGGAATTGACATGCTATTTAAGAGAATTGTGGGATGGTATTAGGTGTTACATGGCTATATTCGCCTTTCACACCAATCTCAAATGTTACTAAATGTACTTCAACTTTACTTCAACGTTATGCAAACGGATGAATTGAAAGTGCTATCATGTTCATCAACATTTTATATCATGTATAATTATACTGATATTTACATTATCAAATGCGTAATTTTTGACAGTATTACTTCGATGCTGAAAGTAATCAATAATTAATTAAAATTAGTCATAAACGGTTGTAATTACTATTTTCCAATTATAATTACTTTAACTTGTGTTATTTCACAATAAGCGAAATCTTTTCTGAAGAAAAACCAAATTATATACTTGCCAGAAACGATTATGGCAAATTATATGCATTTATAAAATGATATAATGAAAATGATTTTATAATAACTATTAGTTGTATAATAACTATTATTGTATGCTTTCAATCGATAGCCATAGTATTAATCACTATGAGTTTGGGTTTCTTTTGGCGTGTAGGCTGAAGGGGTTGTACCTTCCAATGCCTTAACGTTGTTTCCATTACAGCCTTATATTAAAAGTTGGCTTGATTTATTTGCATAATTACTCTGTGCGAAGTTGATAGATATCGATAGAGTTACGCCTAATTAACAGTTGACATTACATACCTTTTCGAATAAGATCGAAGACATTGGCCTGTTCATGTTTTCTGAATTAAACATAACGCTTATTTATAGCGCCTCTAAGTAAATTTACACACACATATTCATACATATTTAATATAATGTAATATAACATATATTAAAATAGATATTTATATTTGAATTCTTTTTTTTTTCAGTGAGCGCTACGATGCCCGTCGTGGTGGAGTCGTATAGCGGTTAGTAGCACGGCAATGCCGGGCATTGTCCGGTGCGGGTCCCGCGGGGCTCGGCCCTCCCTTCCTGGGCGGCTGCTGCTGATGCTGACATCATGTCTTCTGTACAAATTAGCCTCTGCAGCTATGCCGCCTCCGGTACCTCCCGCCCTTCCACCTGATGTGGTGGCGCGCTACCCGTTGGCACGCGGCCGATTCACGCATCTCGCCACGGATCCCAGCACGGGGCGTCTTTATGCCGGCGCTACTAACCTACTGTTGCAATTATCGCCGGATCTTCGTCCAGAACGTAGTGCAGTCACTGGACCTCTACAAGTAAGTTGCATCTTGAACTGTCTTTATTGTATATATGAGCATGTGTCAGTATATATTTTTGAAATAGGTCTCATTAAAAACAACGTATTAATCTTAATAAGTGACTATTTATCATTTTTTATAGGATTCCCCACTATGTCATGCCGAAGGCTGCGAAGATCCGACTCTGACATCTCTACGCAATAATACCAACAAGTTGCTTGTGGTTGATACGGGTTCACGCACTTTGATCGCATGTGGCAGTTTGCGACAGGGTGCTTGCAACAAACACCGCTTGGCCGACATTTCGTCTAAGCCAGAATTTATACCGATCAACATTGCGGCGAATGACGAAAGGGCCTCTACGTATGCGTATATTGGACCGGAACGATACACTCCTTGGGGAGGTTCAGATGTTCTGTATGTTGGAACCACGTTTACTAACAATGGTGAATATCGTCATGATGTGCCTGCGATCGCCAGTCGGAATCTCTTCACACTGGACTTTGCAGAATTGTCCTTTTCAAAACAATCGCTTGTGCAAATCGATGTGAAATACCGCGATCATTTCTTAGTGCAATACGTGTATGGTTTCAATGCGAGCGATCATGCATACTTTGTCATCGTGCAGAAACAATCGCATCTGCCCGGCAATGAAGAACTTGGTTATGTTACTCGTTTATCTCGGACTTGTGTCAGTGACGCAAATTATGATAGTTACACGGAAGTTACGTTACAGTGTGCGGTCGGTGCGGTTGATTATAATCTGGCACAAGATGCCAAAGTGACTCCTGCGGGCCCTGATCTGGCTGCCTCGCTGGGCATCAATACAGGGCAACATGTTTTAGTCGCTGCGTTTCGGCCATCGCGCGGTATTACGGCGGAACCGCAGGATAAATCGGCGGTCTGTGTTTACAGCTTGAAGGAAATCGAAGACAAATTTAACGAAAATATACATATGTGTTTCAATGGCAGCATAAAATACCGAAATATGGGTTACGTATCAGGGCCCATACTTGATGGAAAATGCCCATCCGCCGGGGTTAGTATATCATGCAGTCTATATCTCTTAATACATAATTTTTTTACTCGAACATCATGTTATTCTTTACATACAATGTTTATGTTTTGATTTCATAGTGGAAGGTATTCATAATTATCGAAATTTAACTTTAAATTTTCATATTCATATAATCTTAGATATAAGAGCATATCATATATAATGAAAAACCTCAACTTATTAGATATAATTTATTTTTTTAGAGCGGCAACGTGCAAAACTTTTGCGAAGTTGGTTTGAAGATCAGTGGTATAAGTCCTATAAAGGACGAAGCTTACTTAGATTTTCCCAATGCTTCTATTACTTCTGTAACGACGGCCAACACCGGTCGGCACACTATGGCTTTTCTTGGTACATCTGATGGACAGCTGAAAAAGGTAAGCACGAGTTATAAATATTAGTGTCTGTCCCCTCTGTATATGGCACGTGACTTTTCTCATATAAGGACGTTGTCTTGTATATATATATATATATAGAATAGAATAGAATAGAATAGAACTTTTAGAATAGAAAGTTCTATATATATATATATATATATATATATATATTTACTTTACATTTGGAAAGGGCGTAACTTTTTGAAAAAAAATATATATTATATATGGTGTATGTGTTTTGATTCGTATATGCTTACTATAATATTTTATATTATTTTGATCGTCAGAATTTTTGAGTTATGTATCAGAATGACGGGAATTTTTAAACGTGATTTTTTTTATATCTATTTTGCAACATAAAATTTAGTGTATAGAAATCATGCAGATCCATCGCACCGCTTGTGCGTTGTATTTTTTTGGCGGAGTTCTATTATTTGTATTGTACATATGAAAATGGTCCGTGATGAATTCATATATACACAGAGGTGTATGTACGCCGATAACTCCCTGATAAAACTGAGCGCATCCAGCGGTGAACATTTTGTTCCCGTTGCGTTTTGTTAACGTGAGAAAGACATGAAATCTATATATCAGCAGCTCTCACTGTTATTGGTAACGAATGACATATTTTACTCGTTTTTCGTAGTCCACACTCCCACGAGCATTTCGATGTGTGCGCTCGTGACATGTACTGGGGTTTCGTATATACATTTTTAGTGAGTGTATGTACCAATATACTCATCAGTACATTGAAGTTTCAACGATATCCCTCGTATCGCAAAAATAAGTATTCTGAGACCGAGACTGTCAGCGTATCTAACAAAACCCCGTCGTGTCTCCTGCTCAATTTGTCGCAAAATATTCATTTAATATATTATCTATTTTCTAAATATTACTGTTTACTATGCTTTCTAATATAATTTACTTTTATTTTCTATGCAGTAAATACTCAGTTTCATCGTTCTTTACTCCTGCATAGTAAGCAATAAATATATGAAATGCGACGTTATGAGTTTTGGCCACAACTTTTAAAGTTTTACGTATAAGCTCACTCGCGGTAAATGCTTAGAGCGACTGGACTTAAATCAGAGATTCTGGGTTCTATCTCGCTTCGAGAAGCCTGATGTCAAGCAGTAGTGACATACGTTTTTACTTGGAAATATAGACAGCAATATGTTTCCAGTGAAAATAGCCCTCATCCGGCATTGCTGCATCAATAAAGTATTCGACTTATTATCGAAATTGTTATAATAAAATTTATCCAATAGAGATGAGGCAACTGTTTGGGTTGACACCTGTAAAACCGACGTAGAAATAAGTCAAATTAGCCCAAAAGCTTATAGGGCTCTGCTTAGAAGTTCTGATTGCTGTTCAAAAACAATAAAAGAAAAAAACGTATAAGTTGTATTGCTTTGTCATAATTCTTTAGAAATTTTCTGCATCTGTTTTAGCTTTCTGAAGGGTTCAAATCTTGCCATCAGATGCTTCTTTCAATCAGTGCGTAGCCTAAGATAATACAAGACTTTACAATTACTACTTCTTCTAATAATACAAAATGTTTTACTTAGTTGGAATCGAGAATTTATCAATAAATATCTTTTAGGATAATTTGGATTGGAGATTTGAATTTTTTTTTGAGATACACGTAATTAATTCGTCATTCGTCGAACATTATTTTATTATTAACGTACTATTAGGCCTGTTGCATCATGTTTTGAGCAGACTATCTGAATATTTGATGCGTTCTCTCTCCTTGCCGAATATTGATGACCTGTATATTATTGACGTATTGAAGCCGGTTGGTTGTGCGATATTAACATAAATGACTTTTTATTTGGGACTGTCAATCCGTTTCGAGAGTGGCGAATAATCTTGATGGCATAAGTAGCCTGCGCTCGGCTGACTGCCGACCGGTAACATTATCCCGGAGCCCGAAGAATGACGTGTTAAGAATATGTCATACATAATCCGTGGGGAGTGATATACAACGTTCACTGTCTGTTGTTTTACAAAACATGTCATTCTACGTTTTCAGATCTATTTCAAAAGTACCACATCACTCCGCTGCCTATTACGTTATACATATATTACTGGAAAGTCTGTGTCACACAAATCCTATTTATGTGGCGGGTTGAAATATATGTGAGAATGAAGGGTTACGACTTCTCGCCTTCGCGAGCTTTACACTTGGCATTTTTATTTTGTCAACAGCTAAGACGTTATTTATAGGATCGCTATTATTACAAACTGATATTACCTTGTTTACTTTCCGATATTCTAAAAGCGATGCTTTTGCCATACAATGGAAGGGTATCTTCGAAATTCTGAATATTACTATCTTCGGGACGTCTGAAACACTTAAAAACTCCTCGTAAATTTGTTGCTTATGCGCATTTTCCATTACGCTCGTATTCGGCCAACTTTTATAATTTTGCAAAACATCGATATCAACATTATTTTGAAAATATCTTAAGAAAAAATCGTTTGTAACATTATTCAAGTTCCTATGATTGAAGTTCATATAAATGTTCCTGAAATATTTAGTATCATTACAAATTATATTTCATATATATATAAGTACTATAACAATTTATTTTTAACCCTAATTTTTCGATGCAATATTGAAATTTAATTGAAGGATTTATTTAGCAGTTTTGTTTTCTGTTTTAATTTTTGCAATTTAATTCTCTCCCCAGCAGATATTGCCTTGTTTATTATGTATAATTAGCATTATATCGAAGCTCAAGAGTACGCTGCTTCATAATTATTATTCAATAATGATGCAAACTAAAGTGTTCCGTATTATTTTCCCATAAACGCATACACACATAGATACACACACACACATATATATATATATAATAATAATAATATATAAAATAAATTTTTGAAAGAAATTCATGTTTGTTATTGATGTTATGCCCGATTATTAGACTTTGTTAATACATATGTCAACATCAAATTCAGAATCATACATATATATATATATATATATATATATATATATATATATATATATATATATATATCAAATCTTTGTATGAAGAATATAAATTAAAACTAGTTGTATCATTAGAAATTTTAGTAATATAATATTTTTATCAAAATCGTATTCCACAATTTTCTAATAAGCACAACTTTCCTACATCAGTTTTCTCTGCATTTTGATGATTGGCACTATTGGACAGTAGCAAAGATAATAAACATTTCTGTTTTAAGTAGAAATAAATCCCAGTTTAATCTTCTAAGGCTACTATTGTGTATTTTCAATTGAATCAAAATGTATTCTTGTAACTATAATAGTGATGTGTTTGTCACAAGAGAGATTTAAGAGCATCAAACAATTATTCTATATTACTATTTTTAATATTACTTTCATATTTTCAAATCCCATTGAATATAAATGTTGACACCGTATCATACTACTCCTATACTCCGCGTAGGACTTGTTTACACCCTTATGCAAATAATATCTTTTCAATCCATCAGATCTGAAGCTTCATACATATACATGTTCGCGAACTGAAGCGTTCAGTCTCAAAGAGATTTTTGTGATATTGTCAATCCTCATGTATATACATAGATTATTACACATCCGCATTGTAAATTCATAAATCCATGGGCTTCCATACCGAGTTACGTTCATTTCAAGAATAAGCTTTATCTCTGAAAGTTGCTCACTTTGAGATATTTCTAGCATAATTGCTCTTCCTAGTTGTATGAGATAGATACAAACTATAATAAAAGAAAACTTTTTATCAAACTCTTTTTTTAACAAAAATACTATTGAATGAAAACATTAGCTTATAGATTTCTGCTTCTAGCTTCTAATTATCTTATAGTCTAAACTTACGACAAACTTAGGTCAATGGCGCAGTGTAGATGGCCTAAAGAATACATGCAAAAGTTTGCCTATAATGGATCAAGGGAAAAGAGATCTATTGCATCTACTAATTTTTTTATAGCTCTTAAAGTAATATAATAATAAATAAACAAAATAAAAATTATCCTGTAATGGAAAAACGTTCGAAGAAAATGGTATAATTTATAAACCTACTTATTAAAATGGTAGCACATATCGTATGATTCAAGATACAGGTGCTCACACGTGTCGAATACTTACAATTAATTAGACATAAAGCATACCGTTACAAGTCAATGGTACCTGCGCATAGTTACATATACATACTGGAAATAGTGAAATAAATGTTCTAAGTTTATAGCAAAGATGTTAAAGAAATAAACTTAAATAAATAATGTGGTTCTATTGCCGGTAAATAGCATCACTATAACTTCATCCTTTATCACTTTATTAATAATGAGTATATAAACAGTATATAATTTTTGTATGTTTTTCGTAAATTTTTAATATATTTTTACGTTTCGAATGTTTCTGAAAACTTTGAAATACTTTAGAAAAAACGGATGTATGTGCGGATACAAATTTTCGTCCACGATTTTGTGAACTCGGATCGTGAACGGATGTCCGATTTTAATGATTCAAAAACCATTTTATTTATATTAACGAATTGAAGAACTGCTTAGATCTTTGGGAAGGCAGGTCTAGCGACAAAAATGATCATTAGACATATGCACATCATATTTGATAGAGATTTTAATAACAAGTACCAATTTTGTTTACATTCCTGTGGGTTTCGTACCAATTCGTTGAACTAGGAAAAAAGTTCAAAATTTTCAAAACAAATTAAAATAAAAAATATTTCAAATTTTTGAAAAAAAGTTCAATTTTTCCAAAAATGTCAAAATTCTCAAAAATCAATTTTTTTCACAGTTTTCAAAAAATTTGAAAGCTTTTTTAAACATTGGAATTTTTGGTACGGGAGCTAGCAAAATGCCATGCTCCACTAGTTAAAATATGTTAAAATGCAAATGTTAAAATATTTCTTATATAGAATGTTCAATTAGCAATTTGTTCTCGGAGTTTTCTTAAACTCTTTGTGCAAATAATTACCCAATTTCCATATATGTTTCATATAGGT